TCATTGCATCTGCCACTGATGCCCAAGCTGTCAAGGGACTACAAATCCCAGCAATACATTATACAGCAATGCAGAATAGTATATGATTTTGGTACCTACCTACTGTGCTGCTGTTCTGCTCTGGGGTATTGGCCTAATGTCTCAGGCAGAGGGTTTAAGGAGGGTGAGATGCACGAGCATCTCAATCAGTTTATGGTATTGGAGCTATTTGGGTGAGTATGAGTACTTGTGAAAATGCCCAGTATCTGCACTGATACCAATACTGGTATTGGCACATCCCTAGTGGTGACTAGTCCTTTGGCCTCCACTTAAGTTTTTTTTTTCAGGCACAGCTTCCAGAGTTTAGTTGCACTTTTTAAAGAGGAACTCCAGGAATTTGAAAAGTTAACCCATGTACTGCGGGGGTAGCCCTACTGCAAGGGTTAACCGCTCGTTTTGGTCTAAGGGTACAAACAAAGTAAGTATATTTACCTGTGACGGAGCACAATGAAAACCAGACAAGCGAAAGCTGCTAGTAAAAACATTTATTAAAAACAGTGTCCACAGGGACAAGCAAAATCATAAATCGGGACAAGCCAGAGTCAGGAGGCAGAGTGGGTAGTCGTCCAAGCCAGGTCAGGAACACGGAGATCAGCGTTGTCGGGAACAAGCCAGGAGCAGGAGCCAGAGGAGAACGTCAGCCAGGATCGGCATCATACACAGAATCAGGATACTCGGAGCAGCAGGAAAGCTCTAGCAGGAAGACCACGCAAGGGCAAGGCCAGACTGGACTGAGTGGTTTATATATAGTGAGTGGGGTGACATCATCATTCAGAGACAGGAAACTCCCATCCGACTCTCTCAGATGATGCTCTCCTGTCTGGCCATGAGAGGGAGCCTGGGAGTAGTGAGCAACGTTCCAGAGTCTGCTCAGGCAAAGAAGGAAACGCAGGTGAGTAAAATGGCAGCCAAGCCAGAATGGTGCAAACCAGTAAAGTCGGGGTAGAACCCTGACAACCTGGTCCTCTGTCCTGTCTAGCGGCTATACCGGTCGTCGACCACCCCCCCCTCCTTAAAGGCCGCTGATGTCATCACATCTGTGCAAGGTCCATTTACTTGCCTTAGACGTGAATATTCCACAGCTGGAGTGGAGGGATGAGTAACCAAAACGAGCAGTTAACCCTTCCATTGCGGGGGTTAGCCCCAATGCAAGGGTTAACTTTTTTTTGGAAATCCTGGAGATCTGCTTTAGCCAAATCAACCACAATGGCTACATTAATTTTTTGTGTCTATGCACTAAGCCCCATTAATACTGTTTCTTTCCCCAAATGTCAAACTGATATATAATATCGGATATAATAAAAATATAGATACAAAGTACAAACTTAACAATCCAAAATCTTTACACCGCTGGAGGGTCGGATCGTTAAATCTTATATAAAAAAAAAAAAAACATTTCATCTTTCATACCGGCTCTGATGGACGACGGCTCATACGGGCGCGCCGTGTACTGTACATCTGTGCAAAATATTTCACTTTTATTTCTGTCCCCGGCAAGGCCGTCCTGTCTGTCCGCATTCTGTGAATATTTAGAAAGGGGAAAACGCTTTTTTTTTATGTTCAAAAACTTTTGTTACATGACTTTAAACCATTGTTTGTTTCGTCAGGTTTCAGAAGAAAATAAAGAATCTTGGTAAGATTGTTCATCTGTTACATTAATCATTAGATTGAGCATTGTGTTTTATTTACCAAAATTCTGTGTGAATACAGTAAATCATATTAAAGGTGAACTCCGGGGAAAAGCAAAGGAGTCATGTGTGTTTTTCTTCCTGGAATCTTGGTGAGCTTTGTGTATTTCTTCCAGATCTGTGCAGTAATCAAGTGTGAGACTTGGAGCTTCCTGTAATAAAGACCGGTCACTGCTGCTCTCTCTCCTTGTGCAGGGTGACTGGTCTTGTCTCCGCCCCCTACTGTAATAAAGACCGCTCACTGCTGCTCTCTGTCCTTGTGCGGGGTGACTGGTCTTGTCTCCGCCCCCTACTGTAATAAAGACTGTTCACTGCTGCTCTCTTTACTTGTGCAAGGTGACTGGTCTTGTCTGCGCCCCTCCTTTAGTTTCCTAGTAGGTGGGGCCTGTTGATCCAGAAAACCCTGCCAGACAGGACATCCAGATTGTGTGCCTATATGCAAACTACACAAGATCAATAGCAGGTTG